CATGTCTCCTCACGGTTCCACAAGGCGTCCCTTCGTTATTTCATGGTTCTCTTACGGATTCATCAAGGACCTGTGGTTAGCTCAAGGATAGCACGTAATTAGCTCAGAGGTACCACTCTTTGGTGTATACGTGTCTTCTTACGACTTCACAAGGCATGCCTACAGAATCTCATGATTCTCTTACGGATACATCAAGGACCTGTGGTTAGCTCAAGGGTAGCACGTGATTAGCTCAGAGGTACCACTCTTTGGTGTATACGTGTCTTCTCACGGCTTCACAAGGCATGCCTACAGAATCTCATGGTTCTCATATGGATACGAGGTTAGCTTGAAGGTAACACGTGATTAGCTCAGAGGTAACACTCCAGATCTGTGATGTACACTTGACTTCTGATAGCTCAGCAAGGCGTCCCTACAAAATCTGATGGTTCACAATTCACATACGGATACATCATGGTTATGAGGTTAGCTTATTATTGGATTATTAATATTAGAGTATTAACACATGTTAAACTCAGAGGTACCATTCTCTGAATTTCGTATACCACAATAGACGGTTATTGTTCCGATCCCCATTTGCTCGGCTAATACCTGGCTATACGGCAAAAATATTAATTCCAAAACTATCACAGAAAGTTTTATTCTCTCCTATCAACTTACTACCTCCTCAACGATTATTTCTTTTGGTGTATCGAAACAACCAAGTAAATGCATCACTTGTTCTAAAGTTGCCAAAATACTATAGTGGCTTTTGTCTATGCACAATATAGTAACACGTATTTATCTATTTATTTATTATCTCAATTTTGTACAACAATAAAGTATTATTTTTATACCGTATTCATCTATAAATAAATTCAATAGTTTTTAATCCTTCTTCAATCATTTATTAGACGATTAATTTTCTAGACCAAGCTAAATGATACTACATCTCTTTACAATTTATTTCGATCTGGCAAAAGGTTTAACAATCGATTTTTTTTATCTGGTAAATTAATTCTAAGCCTTTAGATAGTTAAATAATATGCTATTAAAATTTCAGCTATATTAAAATATTTTGAAATTTTTTTTTTTTTACTTCAACATTGCCGTTGGGCACCGTTTAAACAACAATAAAAATATCTGGCAATAATAAATTTATGTTGTGAATAGTTCAATAAAAATAATAATAATAATAATAATAAACCCTTTTAAAATGATTTGAAATAATAATTCGTTTACCTGCACAAGTACGATGCGCACTGATGAACGTAACCACCACCGGCAGCCGTATGACGTCCAGGGGAGTGTGAGAGATAGCATATCTAAAAACTAGCCTACCTGAAATTCTTGTTCAAAAATGTTGCTAGCTCTTAGAATATATTTGACATAGACATGACATGATTATATTTAGGATTATGTGTTCCTGTTATTAGTTTGTAGTTTACCAGCAACGGACATTTAGATAACTTCAAACGGTGATGAGTGTTGTATATGGGATGCAACCGGAATTGTTCTGAAACTGATAAAATATGGATTAGACAATCTATTTATAGAAGTGCGAATAAGACTTATTTTCTTTTTAACCAATAGGATTCGTTTATTTTAAAGAATATTTTCCTCAATCCAACATGTTAAGAGATTACTGGAAAGCAGTTGACACAACAGAACATTGTTGTGATCCCACAATGGGATACTCTATGGCTTTCTTGAGGAACTCGTCTCTTAGAGAGCAGTCAGTATTAGAACGCTCCTCAATAGCTTGATCCATGATTAGATTTAAGGCGTGATCTCTTCTCAATTCTATTGTTGAACACGCTAAGTATCGGGTCATAATATTCACCACGGATTCTTTGAAATGAATAGGATTCCGAATAAAGAAGTAAGCATTCTGTAGTCTAACACATTTCCTATATTCAACACATGAATCTAATTCTTTTAAAGAAAACCTATTAAAAGGTGAATAGATTGAAAGAGAATCTACTTCGTAATTAGATCCTTTCGAAGAGTTAAAGTCTGTTGGTATTTTCAATTTTTATCATAAAAGAAATGAGTCCTTTAAAGACGATTGAAGCTCCTACAAATACTCACTATTCTCAGCATCAGTGGTTCGTATGCTCATATGAGCAACAGCATGCTGATGGTTCTTTTAGTAATTAGGACCTGAATTAGTACTACCTCGTTACCAAGAGATCAGTATCAGTAGGTTGGAGGTTAGAAATAAAGGAACGTCAAGCCAACATTTGACTTGGGTGTATTCGGAATGTGCGCTGGCAATATGAAGATATTGACAAGCTGTCGACGTAAAGACGTGGTACGGACTTCACCACGTTCCTAGGGTTAATCCATTTGCATCCGCGTGGTGTCTGATTATTTAGAGTTGATTATTTTATAACCGTGATCCTAATAAATTAGTGTGGAATAGAAGCCGTATTTGTTAATTAAAGATGAATCCAGACGAACGCCCCCTCTCTTGCCTGTTAAGTATATAGTTCTATAGGATCGTTTTAACTAAGTATGGAGAGAACAGGCACAGCCGTTAAGAAGTTTATTATGATTTTACAAGCCATCTTGTGACCTGAGTTTCAATTTTCACCTTTGGTTAAAGCTAAAGAGGTGTCGTGAACACTAGAAAAATTGGAAATGAATTTTTGTAATACACCCTGCAAAACCGTTCAATAGTTTTTCTTGGTTAATGATTCTGGGAATAGGTGATTTTATAAAATTTTAAGGCTTTGTGGAGTAGATAAATATTTAAATCATTATAAATAATTATTACTAACACTAATTTTAGTTTTTAGACATCTTTATCTGAAGCGTGTTCTAATTTTAGAACAGTATGTACAAATGGGCTTCTTTGTCACCTCGTACGATACGAGTACATATTTACAATTGGCATTATTGTAGAAATAACAATCTCCTTAGGAGCGACATGGTTTTGGATCTATTGCAAAATGAGCTAGACCTAATCGAAAGGTCTTTGTATGAAGGGAAACGGGAGGTTGTTTTGAAACGGGAGGTCCGTTTTGGACTAGTAATAGCAGCCACAGAAATTATTATAGATACGGTGAGAGTACTTAACTTTTGTCACCTGCATTTCCAATAACTCGTGCAGAGTTGTATGTCGAACCAGGCGATTTCATGTAGACGATCCGGCGGTTGAATGTGAAGCGTGAGACGTCCTCGCTTCTGATGTGAGAGCGAGGGGATCCTCGTGGAAGAGACCAAGAGCCTAGTACCTTGAAAGGCTTTCGGGTCCGGGCGTTTAGTATATCGGCGACGTAGCACGGGTTTCCATTTTAAAGAAAAGAGGGTCTTTACTTATGATGTTACTCGTTTATTGCTTAACAAATTCCCACAATGACTCAAGAATTGTTTAGCAGAGATTCTACCAGAGTGACCCCTAAGAGCGACCAATGTAGAATTAATTTACTAAGATTATGCTCGGCCTTTTATATGGTCGATTCTCTTTTACAATTGTAGGTACTTGAACAAAAATAATCACCTGATATTTTGCTAAGACTATTTACATTGATGAAGTGGGTAATTTGAAAACATTTACACTGGTTTTCTTAGAACAATTATTAAGACTTAAACGAATTCGCGGAAAGGCTTATTTTCTTGGTATGACGAATCTCCCGGCGCGACATATATAAAATTCAAATTTCATTTTAAAAAATTATATGTTATTCATTTCCATCAGTAAAAGATATATATAAGAACAATTACATCATGAACACAAGCACTGAGATGGTAGAGCCTAGCTGTGGTCAGTTACTACAGCTCGAACATGGGCGGACTCGACCGGGGAAGTGCCACCCTCTCACAGAAGATCAGTGTGAAGTAGCCTTAAATGGTTGCCTTTCGTCCGATGAGTGAGAGTGCCGGTTGCCCTTTCCTTATTCCCACCCTTTCATACCTTTTCCTTTTTCCCACCCCTCCCTATCCCTAAAAAAAACAAGGTTGGCAACGCATCCGCAACAAAGATGTTGCGGATGTCCATAGGTGACGGTAACCACCCTCCATCAAGTGGGCCGTCTGCTCGTTGTCACCTTTAACATATAAAAAACAGCACACATTTTAAATAATATTATAATCGAGTCCGTTTAATGAAGCGTGACACTTACTTCAAAAATCTATTTTGCTTTTTCCCTTACGTTACATTTTTCCTCTGCCTTCCAAAATGATGGTTATCACAACGCCATTTAACTTAATAAAAGCTTTCATATTTATTGAAATGTATGTCTGTATGTTTGTATCAAATATTTGAAATATTTGATACAAACCGAGTGAACTGAAAGTTGCACACTAGTTTGGTTTGGATGACCAAGCATTGTTTAATTATGTGACTCCTATCATAGAGCTTTTCCTAAAATTTTTCTGAGTTATCTCAAGAAACATGTCATACGAAAACTTCAAATATAAATAAAAAGTAATGACAAAAAATGAAACTCTTATTGAATTACCTGGTAAAAAAAAAAGAATTTTTACTATTTTCTTGTTACATAGCGCGAAGTCAGAAATATTAAAGTTCCTTCAATACAAAGTTTGTCTTATTTTAATTGCTCTATTAAAATTTACCTTTTTTTTATTTTGCTCATATTTCATGTTATTTTTATTTTTTATATATTTTATACTACTACTATTATTTTTTATATATTTTGTACTACTTTTAAGTGGAAACTACGCCATTTTTTCCATTGTCAAATTTTGTATTTTAATCTCCACAGTGATTTTTCTTCGATAAATATTTAGTAAGAAAATATATATTTTTCCTTAATGAATTAATAAAAATGAATTATGCTGCAATTAAATTATACACAATTAAATGTTTACTTCAAGAACTTTCTTTATCAGCTTATTAAGTCTTGCTCTTATCGACTTAGTTACAGAAAGAGCAACTGTATTATAACCATAATATTTTTAAATATAAGTATATAACTTAAAGATAAGGTTGAGAAAAAACATATATAAAGAAAGTGAACCGATGAATAGTTACAGTTATTGAGAAGCTAACTGCCATGAGGGTGATCGCATGTCTGCTCCTCGGGTTCGTGGCTATGGCCACAGCCCGCCCCGAAGAAACGGAGTTCAAGCTAGGTAATTAATAAATATTTTAATTGCATAAAAAAATTAACTCAATATCTTAGGAATAAAATTGCATTAAGACCTGGTTTTAAATTTATAAACAAGGACAAGAGAACAATTTAAATCTTTTAAACATTGTTTTAATGTTGTGCAATTTTTTTTACAGATGTAGTGGACATCAAGCATAAACAAATCATGATACTGAAGCTGCTAAACAACATCATGGGTCCTGTTATGTATAAAGATATTGAAGATATTGGTAAAAACTTCAAAATCGAAGACAACATTGACATGTACACTGTAAATAACTTACTTATTGTGTGTCTTGAATTCTGTATTGATTTTCAATGTAATCATAATTTAATTATTCTATTTCAGAGACGTGAAGTTGTCAAAGTTTTCTTAGACAATCTTAAGTTTGGTTTCTTACCTCGTGGCGAAGTATTTACTCTTCATGTTGATCGTCAACTTAAGGAAGTCGTTACCATGTTCCATATGCTTTACTACGCTAAGGATTTCAGTACCTTTATCAAAACAGCTTGCTGGATGCGCCTCTATCTCAACGAAGGCATGTTTGTATACGCTCTTACTGTAGCTGTCAGACATCGTGATGATTGCAGAGGAATAATTCTTCCCCCCCCATACGAAATTTACCCATATTATTTCGTTCGCGCTGATGTGATTCAGAAAGCTTACATGCTCAAAATGAAGAAAGGTCTCCTCGATAACAGGCTATGTGATTTCTATGGAATTAAGATGACTGACAAGGATGTTTATATTATTGATGAAAACGTTTTTGACCGTCGTGTCTACCTAAACGACGAAGACCGACTTAGATACTTCACTGAGGACATCGATCTTAACACTTACTATTATTACTTCCACGTTGATTACCCATTCTGGATGAAGGATGACATGACCAACAAACTCATGAACAGGCGTTGGGAACTCACATTATATGTTTACCAGCAACTTCTGGCGAGATATTACTTGGAGCGTCTCTCTAACGGTCTTGGTGACATTAATGTGCTTTCATGGAACAAGCCTATCAGAAGGGGTTACTGGCCTTGGTTAATGCTCCACAATGGTATTCAGCTGCCAGTTAGAATGAACAACTTTGTCATTGAGCGAGACAACGATAAGCTTTTAACACTGGTGATGAACTGTGAGAAGATTATCACTGAAGCTATTCTGAAAGGATATATCGAGGTTAGAAAAAATATCTGAACTTTATATATATATATTTTTTATAACACCAAGTTTATTATTTTTATTCTTTGCCTTACAGATCAATGGTATTAGATTGGAACTTACGAAGACTGATGACATTGAAGTGCTCGGAAAATTAATTTACGGCACCATCGAAAAAACTGACTTAACTAAGATTCAAGTAGATGCCTACCGTTACCTTCTCATCCTCATGAAGGCTGTTATTGGCATGAACACATTTACTGCTGACAAGTAAGTAATTTAAATACATAAGTAATGTTTTCATACGTTATTATAAAATATATTCAGTATGGATTACATTACATATTATATTTTGAAATAATATTTATTTATTTTTTTCAGATATTTCGTAGTACCAACAATTTTGGATAGCTATCAAACAGCTCTCCGTGATCCGGTATTCTACCAATTGCAGAAGAGGCTTGTCAACTTAATGATCCTCTTCAAGAGACGTCTCCCAAGTTACACTCACGAGGACCTTTACTTCCCAGGTGTTAAGATTGACAATGTTGTAGTTGATAAGCTGGTCACCTACTTTGACGATTACTTAATGGATATGACCAACGCTGTCGTTTGGAATGAAGATGAATTGAAAAAGACATCTGTTGACATGGCTTTCCTTGTTCGTAAACGCCGCCTTAATCACCAGCCTTTCAAACTAAGTATCGACATTTTATCCGACAAGACTGTAGACTCCGTTGTAAGGATTTTCTTGGGACCAAAAGAAGACCATCTTGGACGCCTGTTGGACATTAACATCAACCGTGTGAACTTTGTAGAACTGGATTCTTTCTTATACAAACTGAACACTGGTAAGAACACAATTGTAAGAAATTCAATTGACATGCACAATCTTGTCCGTGATCGCATTATGACCCGTGATTTATGGAAGAAGCTCGATGGCATTACTGATATGAGAGACATGTTACTCAAGGACTGGAGAAATTACCACACTGGTTTCCCAACCAGGCTGCTTTTGCCTAAAGGTCGCGTTGGTGGCATGAAGATGATGCTTTATGTAATCGTAACTCCATTGAAGCTGGTCGACAATGTTGACATTTCAATCCTTGATGTTAACCGTAAAGACGTTGTCCGTGACTTTAGAAGTACAGTCCTTCTCGACAAAATGCCTCTTGGATTCCCATTCGATCGTCAAATCGATATTGCTAAGTTCTTCACCCCTAACATGAAGTTCTTGGATGTCATGATCTTCCACAAGAAACAGGTGTGTGACATGAAGACCCGCTGGGACCGTTATGTCCTTAAAAATTACGATTTGGTTGACAGGACTTTCATCAATGACAATTATTTCATTGATGTTGATATTGACACCAAAATCGACAGAAACATCAATTTATTTGATATGTAAACATTTCATTTGAACAGAAAATCTTGGCTATAATTAAGGATAAATAGAAAATATGAGCAATATTTATAAATAAATGAACGAATGTCATTTACAACTTGTTTCCTTTCTTAAAAACACCATGACGATCTTTGTTTCAAATTACATAAAAATAATATATAAACAGCTTATTATAATAATGATAATTTTTCCTTTTGTTGTTGAATTTGAAAAGTAATGTAATGGTACTCTATTCAAAAGATTTTTGGACTGCTTGTCATTCATAAATTCAATTTAAAGTCCTTGAGTATACAATAAAATACTATAACATTGTCATAAAATGTAAGATGTCTGGACTAAACTTTTATTGTTATTTTATTAACATAAAGAATAAAAAAATAAATATGACAAGTTTTATATTTATGTAACTCAAAAAGAAATCAAGGAACCCATTTTAAAATTATGTTACTTGCAATAAGTCATATACATATATTTTAAATTAAAGCACATGACTGCAGTTATAACGTTTACGTAAGCATCTTTACTTAATAACTTTCTAATTCTGAAACAGAAACAAATAAATAAATCTAAATTATATCTAAATATATAGCAAAAGCTATAAAAGGTTATAACAGAAGCAATATAATGTGGAGTTTAAACAGCTCGAACAAAAAAATATTACATAAACTTGCTATCTCTCACATAACTTAGGAACTATTTATAGATAAATAGTTTTTATCACTAACTTTTAGAAAACAAAGTATTTATTATAGTTTATTAAGTATACTATACAAATTAATTACAAATTATCATTCTCATTCCTTAATATCAATTTACGGAGATATATGATTATAAGTAATTATTAAGGGCCTGAGTATACTTAAAACACGAAATTAAAAATATCGATATAAAAAATAAATAAAAAAAAACATATACAGTAATACCCCGCTTAACGCGACCCCGTTGTGCGCGGTTTCACTATAAAGCGATTTTCAAAAATTTATTCAGGTTGGGACATTGCAGAGTATAGGCAATAATGATGACCGTGTCTTGAACGTGTTTCAAACGATTAAAAACAGTGTTTGATGTTATGAACGAATTTTACAAGAACGTAAACAAAACGCTACCCAAAAGACAATAAATGTATTTTTTCGTAAAAAATAGGAGTACCTTTGTATTGTATAGTGTTCTTAGAATTAAAGTGATTGATTAAAATGATTTTTATATTTGTGTATTAAATTTTGACTGTGTTTAATCGTAAACCTCCATATAAGCGAATTTCAGTTAACGCGATTTTCTACGGAACGTATCCTTCGCGTAAAGCGGGGTATTACTGTACATTTTTCTACATATATTACGCAAGTGTGACTGGGAAATAAATTTACAGTATAATAATGGTGTAAAGTACTGAATGCTGACTCTGAGCCATCGGTGGGATTTGAAAATGGGTTATAACATATATTCAGACTGGAATCAACTGCTGACTTACAGACACCTGTTTAGGATGTAGTTAGTTATAAGTCTTAATTATTTAATGAGTTTGGCGGCAATCGTTGACTTAAAGACACCTCTTGAGCCAGTAGTTAAATATAAATTTTAATTTTTAATTGAATGTAGTTTTATAAGTAAAATTGATTTTTCTTGCATCCTTCGCTGCCACCAAACGTAATTGATAGATGAACCAAAAAGTTACAAAAATAAATATTTATATTCACTTGCTGAAAGTTGCGTATTTATTTATCAAGTAGCTACCCATGTAACATAATTTCAAATCAAACCAAGTACACGTATATACACAAACTAATTCCAAAGTGAAGAAAAGGGCGCTCATGCTATTATTTTATATATTTTTTACAGGCCTTGGTATCAACTTTGAGGCTTTAAAATCGTCACCGAAAGAGTGGGCGGGTACTAAGACCACCCCCTGAAGATTTTCTTTTCAGTTAGATTACTTTATTTAGAAGATCTAACCTCCTTCTTATACTCGTAAAAAATACATAAAAATCTACGGACAAAACAATAGTATGGAAAATATAAAACATCTCATTTTAATTGAAGAAACTATATACTTTTTAATTAACAATAAAAATACATTTGGAAGTCTTGATGAGTAAATAATGAGTTTGAAAAATTTTATATAACGGTCTGAGTAGTGAGTATTTTTATATAGTTACTATAACTTAAAAATGAAAACTCTTCGCAAAGACTTAATTAAACATAGATAAAACTTCTGAATATTATAATAAAAATTTAATATATGTGACGGAACTCTGATTTTGAATAAGTTTAATAATAAACGTAATAACTAATTCAGTCAATTTGTTTCATAAAAATTATGAGTGGCCAGCACCGAATAGGGTAGTTATTATCACTCAGTGATAATTATAACAAGTTTACAAAAATGTTACAAAAATGTTATCGATAATATCAATTTAAAATACGTGAATAATTAAAATAATTAGGTTATATTGATTTCGGAGTAAATATTATACATACTAAAAAAAGTTTTTTCTTATGTGAAAGGTGGCAAACGAGCAGACGGCCTACTCGATGGAAGGTGGTTACAATCGCCCATGGACATCCGCAACATCTTTGTTGCGGATGCGTTGCCAACCTTGTTTTTTTTTAGGGATAGGGAGGGGTGGGAAAAAGGAAAAGGTATGAAAGGGTGGGAATAAGGAAAGGGCAACCGGCACTCTCACTCATCGGACGAAAGGCAACCATTTAAGGCTACTTCACGCTGATCTTCTGTGAGAGGGTGGTACTTCCCCGGTCGAGCCAGCGGTGGCCTAGTGGTTAAAGGGCTCGCCTCTCGTGCACGAAGGCGCGGGTTCGATCCTGGCAAGTACCAATGTGATTTTTCCGAATCAAATATACTTTCTAAGAGTATTTAGACACCACTGACAGACGGTGAAGGAAATCATTGTGAGGAAACCTGGACTTATAATTTCTCAATTATAAGTTAGAAATCACAAACCCGTCTTGAGCAAGCGTGGTGATAAATGCTCAAACGTTCTCCTTGTGAGAAAGAGGCTTTTTGTTCAGAAGTGGGCTCTGATAGGCTAATGACGATGACGATACTAAAAAACTTATCCATAATCTACAACTAAAGGTTTTAAAAATGCTTCGCGTCTGTATATGTTCAAGTATGATTTCATTTAGTTTCATCAGGTGAAACATGATTGTGATGGTGGAGGTATTTAAAGGAATTCTCAACGTCTCTAATTTACTGGAAATATTAAAACTTCCAAATAAGTTGAGTCCTCGTCCATTGGAGGGACGAAGTTAAATAACATTTCACTAAGACAGTTCTTCTGGTCATAATGAGAGAATATATATAATATTTCTTATGAATTTTTTTTCTTTGAACGATATTATAGAAGAGTTGGTTTTGAAACTTAAATCCATTATATTTACCAGAATAAACAAAAGAGAAATTAAAAAAACTTAGTCTGAGAAAACTTTTTATTCAGAAAGTGTTTTACAGTCTTAATAAACTTTTCAGTTAATATGTGACATTTGAATACTATTCAGTGTATTGATTCTTTGAATACCTGACTGTGCTTTTTATTAAAATAACTTGATGTTTTTTATAATAACATCATTTGTAAGGACGCCACAAATCACAGTTATAGATTTAAGACTTGAGATAACGCTATATTTTCTATCAGTGTTACAGTTATAATAAGCTTTGTAATTTGTTTAAAGCATAACATTAAATAAAATCTTATAAGTATGTAACAATTTTTAATTTAGAGCTTTATTAAAATAGTTACAAATATTAAGTAGTTTGATCATTACCTACATATGTCTATAATATTAGAGAGTATGAAATAATAATTTTATAAAATTATGTACAACATGATATATAATATAATATCAATTATTAGTCAAGTTGTTTTATGGAAATCATTTTTTACTTTTATGAAACAAAAGTTCTAATTAGGATTTCTTGAGGATGTAAAGTAACAAATACTTGATTTTTATAACTTCCTTAATTTGAAGATACTAATAAAGTGTTTCCTCTACAGATTTGAACTTTATAACCTGCTTTGAAAATTAGTTTAATACAACGTGAGATGTCTATTTTCCTTATTTTAAGAATTCAATTTGTCGCATTGATAATACTAAATATTTTTTTAAAGGCAAATTAATCATAATTTAGAATGATGATAATAAATCAAATACTTTTATTCCACGTTCCGTTTAATGTTAGTATATATACATATATGCACGATCCAAAAAAGATATATATTTTTTTTAAACTCTAATTTTAATAAATAAATTGATAAGATATATATATGTATATACATTCTATACTAATATTATAAAGCTTTAGAGTTTATTTCCTACAAACTTTAGTATTTAATTGTGAACAAATTTAAATTTTCATTTAAATCATCAAAAGACTTAAAATCAATTAAGATCTTAGAATAGTGTTCTTACTATTATTATAAATCCGAATGTAACTCTGTCTGTCCGTTACGTTGTCAAACCTACATCGTTGGAGCGATTTTTATTATATTTGGTATAGACATGTATGGAAACCTGAACAAAAATATACCTTTTATCCCCATACCGATTCCGACCCGGATCCCAAAAGCCAGTATTATTATAAAGGATGTGATTCGATTTGGAAAAAAATATGTCTACCTAAATCTTTATGATGTTATACATTTTTTTATTTTTTTGTACTCCAACTTCTTGAGATTTGACAGACTATTAATAAAACTAGTAATAATTTCATTAAAAACATAATGGACAGACAGTAATGTAAGTATTACTCATAAACGAAAGATTATAAATTTAGTATAGTAGTAGTATAAAAAGTTTATAAGTATAGTTTAGTTTAGTTTACTAAAGCATATTTTTTTATGGCAAAATTATTCTATTAAACATCATGATGTGAACTTTAAGAAAATAAAGATGACAATGTTATACTCGTACTGTCTTTCACGTATATTTTATCAATAAATGTGTCTTTATTAATTATAACTTTGATTTCTTAATTTAGTGTACAAGATATTATCATATATCTAATACCCTCTTCATCTTATAAATTTTCAATATCAAAATATTGTAAAATAAACAACGCTCAATATGAAAATATTGTAAAATAAACAAATTACCATAACCATTTCCTTTCTTATAAAATAAAAAGTTTTAGTAATAGGTATATGTACATATTTATAGAGATACACTTTATTGAGCGAGTCAACTGTATATCGCCTTAGAGGCCGAAAATTTTTAGATCGAATATAATTAAATATCCTATGTTGGTCTCCTGGTCCTTACCGATTTTCAACCATATCCCTACAGCCGATTTTGACTTATAAATAGTGTAATGAATACAACCCTCTTTTATAAATATAAATTAACAGAACTAAATACATAATATTTTTTATAATTACATTTATGTTCATAATCATTTATGCAAAAGACGACTTTGATAATTTTTTACTAAATATTCTTTATCTTAAAACTTTCTCAAGATACACAAGTATAGATAACTTTTAACCTATTATATAGAAAAAAACAACTTTGTTTATTTTATTGTTTTATAATTAACGCATTGATAGTATTACGTTATGTGCATATAAGCCAGCAGTATAAATACGGGTACATTTAAAGGTAAGTTACAGTTGACTGGCAACTGGCAACCGGCAACCATGAAGGCTGTTCTTTTCGTGTTGGGGTTGACGGCTATGGCCGCAGCCCATGTCGTAAACGATGACCGTATGATTGGTAAGAGTTTTTTTTTATTCATTTAATATAAATAAATTGTCGAAGTTTTATAATACTTTATTTTTTTTTACATAGTTGATATGGACATCAAGGAAAGGCAAATGTTCATTTTGAAGCTCCTGAATCATGTAATGGAACCAGTGATGTACAAGGAAATAGAAGATATCGGCAAAAACTTTAAATTTGAAGACAACATGGAACTCTTTTTGGTAATTATATTTAAACTGATACATTATTTGTAACTTTACATACAGAATACTAATTCTATGTTATTTCTATAGCTACATAAATTTAAATAACGAATTTTTTTCTAGAAACGTGATGTCGTCAAAACTTTCCTCTCTAACTTAAAAGTCGGTTTTCTGCCACGCGGGGAAGTTTTCACTCTACACGTCGACCGCCAGATGAAAGAAGTTATCACAATGTTCCATATGTTGTACTACGCTAAGGACTTTACAACTTTCATTAAAACCGCATGCTGGATGCGTTTGTATCTTAACGAAGGCATGTTTGTATATGCTCTTACTGTTGCTGTGAGACATCGTGATGACTGCAGAGGCATAGTTCTTCCACCACCATACGAAATCTACCCATATTTCTTTGTTCGTAGCGATGTTATCCAAAAAGCTTACATGATTAAAATGAGAAAAGGCTTATTAGATGAGAAGTTATGCGACTTTTACGGAATTAAAAAAACCGACAAAGATGTTTATATAATTGATGAAAATGTTTACGATACACGAATGTACCTAAACGATGAGGACAGACTCCGATACTTTACTGAAGATATTGATCTTAACACATATTACTATTACTTCCACATTGACTATCCATTCTGGATGAAGGATGATGTGATGAACACCAAACTGAGATTCAGACGATGGGAAATGACCCTGTACATGTACCAACAAATTCTTGCTAGATATTACTTGGAACGTCTTTCCGTTGGTCTCGGTGATATTCAAGTTATAAACTGGAATAAGCCCGTCAGGAAAGGCTACTGGCCTTGGCTGATGCTACACAATGGAGTTCAATTACCAGTTAGATTTAACAACTATTGGGTAGACGACGATAGAAACAGGGGTATCTTAGACCTTGTTAAAATCTATGAAGATATCATCGAAGAAGCTATTATGAAAGGATATGTCGAAGTAAGTAATTAAGGGTAAACTTAAGAGGAGAATTTGTTTATTTTTTTTATTATTTTTTATGTTCTTTTATAGATTAACGGTTTAAGATATGAACTTACTAAGGCCGACGATGTAGAAATTCTGGGGAAACTTATTTATGGTGGAGATATTGACAAACTCTCTGTGAACAAAATGAAGTGGGATGCCTATCGCTACATGCTCATCTTAATGAAGGCTGTTGTCGGATTGAACACTTGGACATCTGACAAGTTAGTAATTCCTTTTCATGCTTTTAAATATTTTAAACATTATAATAATAACATGCTAATAGTATGTATGAATTTATGTATACTAATATGAACTATTTTTTAGATACTTCGTCGTACCCAGCGTTTTAGACAACTATCAAACTGCTCTTCGAGACCCCATCTTCTACCAATTACAAAAGAGATTATCATACTCTTTTATGTACTTCAAACTCCACCTTCCTTCTTACACTCGGGAAGATCTTCTGTTTAATGGCGTGAAGATTAACAACGTTGTAGTCGACAAGCTTGTCACATACTTCGATGATTACCTAATGGATATGACTAACGCTGTCATCCTTAACAAAGATGAAATGAAGAAGACCGTGTCTGACATGAAATTCTTAGTCCGTAAACGCCGTCTTAACCACCAACCATTCAGAATTGTGCTTGACATTGAATCTGAAAAAACAGTCGATGCTGTCGTAAGAGTTTTCTTAGGACCCAAAGAAGACCATTTAGGTCGTTTATTAGATATTAACATCAACCGTGTCAACTTTGTCGAAATTGATTCTTTCTTATACAAACTTAACACTGGCAAGAACACCATTGAAAGGAAATCAATTGATATGCACAACCTTGTTCGTGATCGTCTTATGACGCACGACCTGTGGAAGAAGTTTGATACAATAACTGACATGAAAGACCTCCTTTGGAAAGATCTCAGAAACTATAACACTGGTTTCCCCACTAGGCTCCTGTTACCTAGAGGTCGTGTTGGTGGTCTGAAGATGATGTTGTACGTCATTGTTACCCCATTGAGACTGATTGACAATGCTGATGTCTCTTTAATTGACCTTAACCGAAAGGATGTGATGGTGGATTATAGATCTACTGTTCTTCTTGACAAAATGCCTCTTGGTTTTCCATTTGACCGTAAAATAGATCTTACTAGATTCTATACACCTAACATGAAGTTCTTAGATGTTGTTATTTACCACAAGAAAGAAGTTTGTGACATGAAAACCCGTTGGAACAAATATGTGCTCAAAGGCTACGACTGGTACGGAAATACTATCGTGGATGATAACAACTACTTCGTGGACGTAGATGTCGACACCAAAGTCGAAACAGAAAGACGTAACTGGGTTATGTGAACTCGATATCTGAAACCAAATAAAGACAGCTAATATAAAACTTACTAATTATATTCTATGTAATAAAAGAAGCAAATAAACTTATAAAAAATATTTTCATCTCTTTATTTATGAGCTAAGTGTATGATACCCACTATTAATCATTGAAAATGTATTCCATAATAAGTTTTTAGAAAAAACAAAAGTAATATATCTAAAACTAAAACCATAATGTATAACAACAGTACAAAAAGTCCTTAATATTTGAAGCGTTACCTCATTTATGCATAGTCAAAGTTTTCGTCAAAAATGTGGGTGTAATTTTATTAAAATCTCAAAAAATTAAAGCGTTTGGATTACAATAATGACATTTTGGAATAGCAGTTATAATAACGTCTTATATTTTAATAAAGTTTAAAAATAAAACAGACCACAATCAAATATATTTTAAAAATAAATATGTATGCTTAATATGTATTATGAGAAACAATAATATATGTATAAATAACTAAATTATTTAAATACATCAAGTGAAAGCAAAAAAAAAAACAAATCTAGAGTTATTTCGTTTCTAAAAAAACTAAGTATAATATCTCTTTAAAGAAAATCATAAAGTTATCAATCGCGAGGACCATCTCGTAAGTGCTTTGCACTAATTTATCTTCTACTTCTTTAGGACATTGTGCAATATGCAATTACTAAAATTATGCAATAACTGAAATTATTTTCGAGTATACATCGAAAGGAGAATAAATCGTACATAAATATGGTTGTTTAAATGTTTGCTGGTCTTACTGAAGGAGAGTTAAGAAGATGGAATCCAGCTTAACTTACGTCACTTAATAAATCTATAATTCTTATTCTTTATACTACAGAATACTTTGGACTCAAATAATGTGCAAATATTTTTGTTCGTATCTAAAAATATATTAAGAGTGCAATGTAAGTATTTTTATCAATTAATTCTTCCGGTGCAATTAATAAATAGTGCTTATTGTTATTTATATTTTCTCAAATTATGTCGATTAATCAATGCTATAATAATTTTGTTTTATTATGTATAATGTAAGGATTTAGCTACTAGAATCTTATTTTACTGATCTGGCTAGGTTATCTGCTGCTTATCAACTTCCGGTGTAATACATTAATATTTAATGTTACATAATCCTGTATTATTAAATAATATTTGTCCATAAATAATCATTAGAATAATTAAGATAAACAATGTTTAATATTATCTTTTAAGTTTGCAAATTTAATATTAAATTAGGGCAAGATGATTTTGTATAAATACCGCCATTTTTTAATATGTACATATATTGGGCATTGATATTGTAACCGTCGTAACGAGCATTACAAGTGTTAGTCTATGAAACGTATCGTTATAGTATATTTAAAATGTAAAAGTAAAGATGAAAAGAGTAATATATATTTTATAATATAATAGGATCAGTGGTCTGACAAGCTAAATATTAGAAAAAATAAATAACAAGCAACCGTCTCGTTAAGGATATTAATATCTTTGCCTAAGCTGTAATGAAACATGATTCATTGACACCTATCGAAAAAAAAGATTAGATAATTTATAAATCTAGTAATGCATCATATAAAAATTATGCAAATTACAAAATATAATAAGAGTTTTAATTGAAATCTTCAATAGTTTTTATCTCCTTACCAAAGATGACATTAATTCATACAATTACATGCATTGTTTTCATTTCTGATTAGTAAAAGTCAAAAAATAACATAAGACTGTGATAAGACCACATATGGTACGATATTGTTCCCGAAACTACTGACAAAATTGAAGGTGAAAAATCAATATATCTCAGAGAAACCCTAACACCGTATAATAGACATTTACTATGGTTTGCCAAAAAAGAACTAAGTACCACCTACAAATTCATCTGGATCAAAAAAGGAATTTTACGTGCACGCAAAGAAGGTGATAAAGAAAAAGCAATAATTATTCGATCAAAAGAAGATGTTAATAAGCTAAAATAATTCTTAATTATACATACGTAGGTACATAGGTTATACTTATTGTTCTATAGATAAAAATTCTTCTAAAGATAGATAACATCAGAGATAATATTTTAGAATTATCAGATTGTACTAACTTACAAATATTTATAGACAGTATACCTACTAACATAAATCTATTATGCATTCATATAAACATTAGGTCAATAATCAAAAATTTCTCAATACTGGAATACTGTATTCAGCAAAGTTCAAAAATTCCCGATGATGTAATTATAACCACTGACGCTAATATACATATCAGAATCGCTAAGTTATTTGTACAACCTGCAGGGATATAATATGCACACACAGTTGCGTACGGGACGCAAAGGTGAAGGCATTATAATGTACGTACGAAAAATTAATAAATTTACCACTAAATATTACCAACCACAACATTTCGAGCTTCTTTTTGGTTAAATTAACACTTCATGGGGATATAAGGCAACTTTGTGTGCTATGTATAGACCACCTAGTAATAGAAAGCACGTATTTGTAAATGAACTAAACATATTTCTTAGTAAAGTAGAACAGAGTCAGGATATATGTATATGTATAAGGAGATATAAACTTTGACTTAAAATATAACTGTCCTATAAAACATAAATATAGCACTGTTATGTATAATCACGGGCTTGTGTGTGGGATCTAGGAATATACCCGTGTAGAAAAGTGCAGTAAACAAATTAGTAAGACATGTATTGATCACATTTACGCGAGATCCTAGAATATCTTGTTACAACATTTTTGAACAATCTTACTAATGATTTTAAATATGAAATAAGTATAAGTAATAATACTTTTTTTTAAATATTAATAATAATACTTAATATTACTAATTAAATAATATCTCATAAAGGGAAACGGATCACCTGTATTTGCACTATCTACAAGTTATTTGTTTCAAATGCATTATCGCAAAACCGGCTTTAATGACCGACCGGCCGAGTAGTGCATCGTAAGTACCTATTGTATTATTAACATAATTTAAAAATCTTTTAACGTATACCCTCACATATGAGTTATAATTAAACTAACATCAGTTATTCAAAATCTTATGTAGTTAATAATGTAATAGGTAGTATATTTATGTATTAAAAGTTTCGAGTGTACTCGATGAATGCCGGTGTACGGATAAACCCGACAGGGATTTTGTAACACCGTAAAAGAAATTTGTAATATGTTATATAAATAAAGAATAATAAATAAATAATAATAAAAATAAATGGCTTGTTCGTATCCAAGTCAGCTATCTATACGTATAGTAGTAGATTCTGTTTGTTTGTTCGAGGAATTGCTTTTTAGAGACACGAACAGTGTAAAAGAAGAGGTAACTAACGTCATGTCACGGTCACGTGACTAGTTAAAATAAAGAAATAATATTGGGTAATTCTACGGTAAGTATATGGATTGACACCATAAATTACGGTCTATATGTTAGAAGCTATAAAGTTAAATACATATATATAATTGTGGTTTTATACATCATCATCAGTGTTAGTTATAACAAGCTACTTCCATACAAACTTCAACTCTGTTATTTTAATGGAATAAAGTGTCTTATAATATATCATGTCATTCTTAATATGGTAGATAATATTTATTTAACTAATAAGTCAAAGAATATGAACAATTATAATCGTAGTAAGCGACATTCGTATATAAATATATATAAAAATTAATGTTATACATCTCCGTCAGAATTTTACTCATAAAGTATATTCCTGTATTTTTCATTTGACAACGTCATCTGTTGTAAATCAGTTAAACTTACAAATCTTTTAACTACTGAAGTCAAATGTAATTCATAATAATGGTAATAGATGTCTCTGTAAAGGATTGTTTTTATTTCAAAAGACACTAGTATAAGTTATTTAATAACGTTTTGAGAATACGTTAACAAAATAATGTTTTATAAATATAAATTATGGAAAGTTTAAAATACATTTTAAAGTGACAATATATTTTTTTTACTTCTGCTCCGGATCGAAATAAACTTTTTAATACGCTGCATACTTATTAAATTTTTTTGACGGTGTAGTTTTATATATTATATAAGCTTAAAGAACTTCCCTAGATTTTTTAACTATTTTGTGGTAATATCTTTTAATTGTGTTTGTATTGTGGGAAAAAGTAATATGTAATTAATAAAAATTGTTTTTCTAGATGACAAAAAACCCTTAAATAACACCCACATATATACTAATTTGAAAGAAAAAACAAACTTTCAAACAATCGAGTTCTCAAAACAAATTTTATAATAAACAATTTTGATTTTTAAGTAATATTTACAATTTTAAAGTTTGAACTTTATTATTTGCTTCTTTAAGTTCAAAGTAATAAACTACTGGTACAAAAATATTGCAATAGATTATATTTTTATCTCACTTAAAACGTACGGTAATTGATTTATTGAACTCAAATTAATTGCAATTACTTTATTTATTCTTACGTTTTGCACCTTAAATATTTTTGAAGAGATAAATTAAAACCCGCTATAATTCTTCTTCTACCTAGCAATTTCCCAGCTTTAGCCAGGGTCTGCCTTAGATGTGTGAATAGTTTTGGCTATTTGTTTTTAGGACCGACCGCCTGCCGCCTGACATCAACCCTCTTTTAGGAATGCATTAATCAGTGATGTCTAAATACACTTAGAAAGTACATATGATTCGAAAAAATGACATTGGTACTTGCCCGGACCAGGATCGAACCCGCGCCCTCGAGCATGAGAGGCGGTCCTTTTAACCACTAGGCCACCACTGACTTAGAACGCGCTATAATTATGATTTTAAAATGAAAAAATATTGTGAAATAAACAGTAATTGACTGTAATAATAATGTTTATAGATTTAACATGAAAATATACGTAAAGTAATCTTATAACAAATTCTAAAACGCATTTGGAGTCGCTTCAAAACTTAAGCCAAAATCGTAGTTATAAAGTGATTGATTTTTATTTTCTTTTAACTGAAAAGTATATAGGTAAACAAGATATTAAAACATTTTAAAAAGTTAGATTTTCTAAAATAAATATTTTATTTTTATGTATAGAATATAAATATTTCCCCTATTTCGCTTCTTAGCTCTTAATAATATTTTAAATAGAACTATAACATTCCTTAACTTCACATACATATTTGTTCATTCGAAAAAAATATTAAGATTATCGACCGAGTATACTTTTGACATTCCGCTAAAGTTGTATCATATTTAGCAATTAGTACATTCAACTACCTTATCATTAATTGAAATTAATAATTACTATGATATCTTAGAACAATATAAATTGGGTGGATTTAATACTGTTTCTCAGTACTGCTTAGAAAATGAAGACGTTAACATTAGTGTTTATTTTAGGGCCACTAGTTCTGACTGAAGCATTTCTCATAAAAGTTCCGACTACAGTCACAACTTCGAGAATTGGTAAGTTTTTAAAATTGACAAAAAATAATAATAAAATGTTATTTTATTGAAAGCAAAGTATCTGTACTACACAGACGTAATTTCAGAAAAAATATAAATTAATTCCATTATCCTTATTACATTTTGTACATACATATTTCATAGTGGCAAGACTAATTGAATAATTTCTTAACTATCATTTGAACAATTTTTTAAATAAAAATTTGCAACTTTTCATAATTCTTTTTATAACGTCGCATATTATTTTCCTCCACTATAAATGAACTAAAATTTTTAGCACCAGTCGGATGGGTTCATGTACAAAAGTTACTACTACCGTTATTTGAAAATGTTTGCGAAGAAAGTTCAGATCCTACAGTGGTTAGATTAAATGAAGAATTTAAACTGGATCCGACACTCGGAAATTATTTGGTAACTACGTTGAAAATTCTCCAGTGTTTATTTCAATACAAACTGGAAGAGATTATGTCATAATTGGCTTCTATCAATTTTCGTATTTATTATTCTGTTCCTTTATAAAACAAAATAGTCATATTTTCTTCTTAACATTTGACTAGTATCGCTACCACAAGTTTGAATGGTTAAACTAAATACAGAACATTTAAAGGTTCATTCATAAACCAACGTTGATGCTATTATATCAGATGATTTACGAGTGATGAAGTGGAAATACTCCGTATGTTATTTAATGATGTAAACTTTTGGTAAGAGAACAGACGCGTAGACAATGGTTTAAAATAGTGTAAGGCTAATGAGCCAGTTTGTTGAATAATAATTATAAATTTAGTATTGATTTATGGTTTTATAATTGATTGATAGTATTCACGTATTTTCTAGACTATTTAAAAATATATAATTCTACAGCAATGAAGTTAAAGAAAGTCGTAAAGTATTTTTTAGATGATAAGTTTTCTCTCTTTATTTGAAGAAAACAACTTTGAGAAGTTTCAGTTTAGTCAATTCATTTGTTTCGCTCTGAATATTATCATATTAAATATATATTTAATGTTTTGTTATATGGCGTTTGAAATTTTCAGAAACCAGATGTCATCGATAACCTTCTAAACTTGAAATCCACGAAAGGCTTATTAGGAAAGGGACAAATATTTACTGAATATAATTCTGATCACTTAGATGAACTCAAAGCGGTATTCGACGTATTATATTATGCGAACGATTTCAACACTTTTTACAAAGCTGCTTGTTGGGCGAGACAAAGTCTAAATTGTGGTTTATTTGTTGACGCTGTATATTTGGCTATTTTAAATAGACGTGACACGGAAAAAATATCTGTACCACCACCATACGAACTGTTGCCTAATTATTTCATTCGAAAAGATTTTATTATTAAAGCATCTTCATTAATAAGAGGCGAAGAAATTACAACAGATACTGTTCGAAACGAAGGCAATGCTTATATTTTAGATGTTAATTACACAACAAACTTTTACGATGACAGTGACGTCAATTTGGCTTACTTCCATGAAGATGTTGGCTTAAATTCCTATTATTTCTTAACAAAACTTAAAAACTGTCGATGGCTTAACGATAATGGATCCGTTAAAAACAATGGACAGTACATATATCATACACTTAAGCAATTAAATGCAAGATATAATTTGGAAAGATATGCCAATGGATTACCAGAATTAGTTGGAATAGATTGGGATTACCTCAACGAGTCCCCTTACGATCCTATGCTAATATATTCAAATGGAAATAGTTTCAGTGAGAGAATGTCTATTAATAACAATAATGATCTCATAACTGTGCTTAAAAATATGGAAAGCAATCTTCCCGCCGTTGTTATGCACATGGTACTTTCATTAAATATTATATTTGCATATACGTTTATTACTATTAAATAATTTAAAAGTTTAAATATTTACAGAGAGACAATGGGTACAACAAATCCGAAATACTCAACCACTTAATGGACATACTAGTAAAGGATGAAAGGAGTTACGAAAACCTAGCACTACAAGTTCTTAGTGGTTCCGATTCAGAGTAATTAATTTAATTTACATTGTAATTATATGTATAGAATACTTATATTTTTTTCATATCTTAATAATCGTATCTTTTGTTTTCAGCTCTTATTCGGTTTTAAAACACTACATGACAACTGTAAGAGATCCCATCTTCTGGAAATTAAATAAAAAAATTGTTGATATGGTAGACAATGCTTTAAGTATTTTGCCAACATATACAAGAAATCAACTTTATTTCCCCGGAGTTGAAGTACAAAACATAGAAGTCAAAAAAATGACAACATCATTCGACAGTTTCGAATTTGATGTCACTGATGCTTTAAAAACGGAGAGTGATGAAATCAAGTTTCAAATTAAGATGTCTCAAAACAGATTGAATCACAAACCCTTTGCAGTTAAAATTAATGTCGCATCTTTAGTAGCTCAAAAAGCACTAATTAAAATATTTATCGGTCCTAAGGTAATGCCGGGTGAACTAGCCAAGAAGAAGAACCTCTTTATGTTATTAGACTGCTTTGAAGCTAGTTTAAAAATAGGTAGTAATGTAGTAACAAGAACATCAAATGAAATGACTGACTTTTCTGAAGACCTTATCTCACAAGATGTTGTATATAAAAAAGTGTTGGATACCGAATTTGGAATAGATGCGTTGCCTCTAAAATCAGTTTCATCACAAATCAAGTTCCCTTCTCGATTAGCCCTTCCTAAAGGTACCAGCACTGGTTTACCACTGCAGGTATTTGTTTTTATAGCTCCTTACATAAAAGCGAATATTGGTGGATCAAGAACTAATGTGGAATTAAATTCCGATGCAATATTTTCTCCTGGATACCCTCTTGATTTAGATATAGAAATACAAGATTTATTTAATTTACCAAATGCTTTAGTTAAAGATATCATTATAACACACAAGAGTGAAAGTCTTAATATAGATGGTAAGCCTGGCAATAATTACAAAGATGGTGTCAACAATAAATTATGGCAAAAGGATGAAATAGATTATGTAAACCAAAATAATTTGTTAGGTTTGGCTGAGCGACCTGCATTTACAAAGAAAACATTTGACTATAAATCTAAAAAGAACCAATATGGAAAACGGCCAGACTATTCTAATAAATTCACTGAAAAAGACAAGGAAATTAAGATTAATGAACAAAATCTAGATAAAAACGATGCGATATCTGAAGTGAATCCTGAACCCGAAAACATGGAGATTATAAATAACATTTACATTACTCCTGAAATGAGCCGGAAGGTTGAATTGGACACAGACGAAAATCTAAGAAATGGTTATAAATTTTTATTAGATAAAGATGAAATGAATAATATAATACATAAAGAAGTAAATGAAGAATACAATATAAAAAATAAATTCATCCCAAGTAACGATAAGGATGTATCTTATAAAGTAGTCGTAGACAAAGATGACCTTAATAATATTTTACATAAAGAAGTAAATGAAGAATACAATATAAAAAATAAATTAATCCCAAGTAACGATAAGGATGTATCTTATAAAGTGGTGGTAGACAAAGATGACCTTAATAATATTTTACATAAAGAAGTTAATGAAGAAGTTAAAAGTAAGTTTAACAAATATGAAAAAGATACAAAAGTAGATAAAGATATAGAAAATATAAAAGTGGTTCATGTTTATGTGGATAAAGATGATAAAAATGATATTACAAATCAAAAATGGACTGAAAACAATGTTAAACCTCATGGCCTACTTGGTATGCCAGGAAAAAGGTTTTCTAATTTCTTCAATATAGTGTTTGAACCCCAAAAATTAGATGACAAAGTTTACGTTTAAGACTATGACTTAGAAATAACTTTTTTTTGTTATGCTTAACTAATTATTAAATAAAATATAATACGAAATAATAATTCGACTTTTTATTGTATAAATAATTATTTTCAGCATTTAAATCACTTGATAGATAAATATACAAGATGTCTAATACAGTAACAAAACAAAATTTGCAATAATATATTTTTTGAAATCCAATCGTTAATCCTGGAACAAGTCCAAATATTCTACAATGTTGTTACGCTTTCCCTATTTCCATCGCAGAAAAATTAAGAACCATCGGTCACTAATGTGACAACGAGTAGACGACAAACAGAAATATTTTACAGTCGCTTACAAGGTTTCCTATACATATGTTTTCTTTTTACAATATATCTTATTCCATATAAAAACTACATGAAAAACACTATAATTAATAACATTTATATAACTATTACTTACAAAGTAAATTTTCATTATTAAAGTTAGTTAATTATATTTAAAAAAGACTTTAATGATGATTATAATGATTAAATTAATATTAAATGCTACCCCAAAATATATTACTCATTAACCCGCTTGTAAGATTGCCATGTCCGACACTTGTCCGGATGTTATTCGTAATGATGTTATAGTAATCTACAGTAACAATTATAATTAATTATATACTGTATTCTAATTTAGGATGGCAAAGAAATGCAAGTAGAGCTCGATGAAACGCACTATTCATCATAGAACCTATTTAGAGAATTATTTGCATTTGGCATCTTATGCTCATGAGAATGCTGCAAGGAAAACTGCTAGTTCAGTGCCAAGATAACGTTATATTCTGAATTTCATTGACACCGATGATTCAAATCATAATAACTTCTACATTTAATGGTCCAATTATTTACATGCTAAATTTATTGTGGGTAATAATTAATTTATGTTCAAATTATAACACATTATGAACAAAAACTAACGAAGGAATAGGTTATTCAATAATATTTTTTTTTCATATGCCTTTCATACATAAGAGAAAATAAAAGAAAATTCCTTAACCATCATTTACGAAACAGCGATAATATCAAGTTAATAAAATATTCTTATAGTTTTTTCTGACGTTTGCTTCCTCTCAATGAAGAATTAATTTCGCATTGTTATAATTATTTGGCATCACTATCTATTTTTAAATTAAAGTCAGTATGCCAAGGAAATAGAAACATTGAATGGAATTGAAAGCGATAGTCCAACTAATGGCCGCCTACAAACAGCCACATTGACGTTTGGTATCGATATAAATAAAGCATATCTCAACATCACTATTATAAACCAGAAATAGTCACAGGATGTGAGACGCCAAAGCATTTCACATATTTGCACATTAAATTGTGCAGTTTTCTTAATTATATCTATATGTTAATTAATATATATATACGGAATTTTTAAAATAATGACTATAGTTATATATATATAAAATATACATATGTCTACATATTATAATTAATTTTTCTTTTAAATTGTATAGAAAATAGAAATATGTCAGTGAATACATATTTAAAAATACACCAGTCTATTTATTGTTTTCATAATATCTATTATATTTGAAAAGACCAAAATTTATCTAAATTTAAAAAATCATTATCATATATTTTAATGGTTATCCACATAGAACAATAACGATGAAATATTTTAAGAATAACCCACGTGGGTCCTAATCACGTATAAATACAGTTATAGAGATTCACACGTGAAAACAAAAATTATAGTCGATCACCGACATTCTATGTATATCTGAGCGAGCGCGCGTATAACCCGTTGCACAAGCCTGAAGTTGTAAACCAATGACGCGTACTAACATCTACAATTTACGACTCATTGCAAAAAAATAATCCTTTTAAAATATTTTATCCTCAAAGACAATTTGAGGAAGTCAATTAATAACTTCTTTTATTAATAAACTTTTTGGTGTATTTTTATAATAATTTTTAGAAATATATATTTACATATACATTTATTAAATTGCAAATATTTCGAGCTTTTTTCTTTTCAAAGAAAAGAGCATTATATCCATTTAACAGATTTGTCGTTCTAATAATGACGTTGCTCTGTGTAATGTTTTCATATTATAGTGATGAATCGGCGAAATTCTAAGGGAATTTCGGAATTCTTAGCCGGAATATTAGTATACCACTTGAATTGTGTTTTGATCCGGACAAATGAGCTCAGAGTTAAGCATTTTCGATGAGTAACAGCTTTTGAAATACCGCAGCAAAATAAATGATTATGTTATAGTTTTAATAATAGCGTGATGGATAACAATAGATTATGGTTTATCCAGCTGGTACATTCTTTTATAAAACTATAATATATCCACCTTCTTATGACTAATATCTGGGCTAAAAAGAAACACGATAATAAAAAATTTCAAAAAAACAATGCATAATATAAAAAATTAATGTTGAAAAAGTGTAATTGTATTACAAGAGTAGCAAAATTATTTTTAAACTGGTTCGTTTAATAAATCTCATGAAATCGCTTCCTATTATATTTTCACTATTGGCGTATCATTGGATACTGACGACGAAACGTCACTGAGCCATTACGAGAAGACACTAGCTGATTTTTACTTATTTTTGTATTCCTTCGTCGGAAGATTGGTCTATAAATATGAGTGCCACATGACTGTAAAATCTAGTGTAACAACACTCGCACTCGGATTCGGTTCTTGTTACTACTGCTAACACTACTCAAACATCATGGTGAGAAACTACTTAAGTGATTCTTTACTGGAGTGATATTGTGGATGTGTTTTTTAAAAAGTCTAGTGTTATTCAAAATTATGTGTACTAGTGTTTGAATGTTAAAATTTTTCATCTGATGCTATTTTCCCGCCTTGGATCGAAATTTCTGTTGTAATTAATAAAATTTTAATTCTTATAGGATACTGATGATGACCAGAAGATGGCTATGCTCCGCAAGGCATTCCAGATGTTTGACACTACAAAATCAGGATACATCGATGTCCTAAAAATCTCAACTATCCTGAACACAATGGGACAGCTCTTCGATGATTCTGAATTACAAGCCCTCATCGATGAAAATGATCCAGAGAGTAAGTAAAATATTAAAAACAAATTAATCTTTGGTTCTTATTACGTACTACTTTTTATAAATTAATATTCGTTTACAATAATACCAAACTCTCAGTATATTCTCCTTTATTTAAATAGCTTTTCTTCTTTTTTTATTCAAATTTTATCCTTTCCTTGCAATCAACTACGAGTACATTTTCATTATTACTCACATTAAAATAATGTTGCCATAAAAAACACCTTATGTATTTATTAACCTCATAAAAGTAATGAGGGTTATTAATCATCATATATGAAACGAGCCACCGTATCTCGGCGACATCTTCAAAGATACATGAATATTTTTACTCGCAGTCGCTATAATGAGTCTATTTCGGGTCGAGCGTCTACTGAATATTCCGATACCTTTTGAAATACTTATCCTATATTTAGTTATCTTTAGACAGTTTGTTACAATTCGAATTATAGATTTAGCACAAAAAAATGAGACTTTTTAAGTTGTATACAATTGATTGATGTTAATGTACAAGTGACAATCATTTTGGCAGTGATTAAATTATGCGATCGTTTGACTCATGCATAACAAATTGTCTGTCACTACGAACGTCGGACACGGATATCATAATTTTACAAATGGAATAATCATAACAAACAATCAAAATATTTTACACATTTTATGACTATCAGCTTATAAGTGGTATTATGTCTTAAACAGGCACTGGCAAAATTAACTTCGATGGATTCTGTAACATTGCCTCTCACTTCTTAGAAGAAGAGGATGCTGAAGCTATGCAACAAGAACTGAAGGAAGCTTTCAGGTAAAGATAAAAATAAATATATATTTTTTTTTATAATTGATGTGCCATTGTGTACTACAGAATATAGGTTAAATAAGAATTATAGTATGAATTGCTAAAAGACGTTATCTTCATAAAATCACTTAGTAAAGTCAAAGCAAATTAAAGAAATACATAAATGTATTGAATAATTATTGATATTTTGGATAATGTCATTTTATAGACAGTTTGTATGACAGTTGTGAAAAGGTCGCATTGTGGGCGTAATTAATTGATGGTCATGTTTAATATATTGTATGTTGTACTATGATAAATATAATTGATTAACGATTTTACAATTTATTGAGAACTATTTCACTAAATTTATTTTTATTGCCTGTACAGATGTTGTGTGCATTTTTTAGAAAAAATATTTTCGGATTACTGCGTATTGTTTTATTATTTTTAAAACTGCATATGTACATCCCGACCGCGACGTTTCGGTTACTTTGCACCAAACGTGATCACGCGTAGTTATCCTAAAATATTAGTTTCATTGAAATGAATGTTCGCGAAAGTTTTAGATCTCATAATATAAGAGCGTTTAAATTTTCTTTTACAGATTGTACGATCGTGAAGGAAACGGTTACATCACCACCTCAACTCTCAAAGAGATCCTTGCAGCTCTGGACGACAAACTTAGCAATGCTGATTTGGATGGTATCATTGCTGAGATTGACACTGACGGATCTGGCACCGTTGACTTCGATGGTTAGTTTTGTTTTCATAGTCTATTTTTAACACTAAAAGATTTATGATTTGGCATCAATCAAATGCATCTAATGATTTACCAATACAGTTCAACCGTGAAATTGAGACTATTTAAATACGTCATGTATTGATTACAAATATTTTCATTACAAATTATATCGCTTCTACTTACTTTTCAAATGTATAATTACAATGTTTTTTTATATAACCCATATTAATAAAAGCATATAAATCTTGTTGAAAATTAGTACTTACGGAATTTTGTCAATGCAATCAAACGGTACATTCAAAGCGTCAGTTACACAAGATCTAACAAATACGTATTTTGAAATATTTTTTTATTTGTTTCAGAATTCATGGAGATGATGACGGGAGACTAAAGAATTTGTTTTATCTTATTTACCCTTAGATGTTTTTTTAAACTATACTTATGAGTTTTAAGACTTCATTTGTACACATCATGCGGTATTAGCATAGAATGCATGTTAGTTTATCTGACTATGCACATTTATTTTAATCTATCTTATAGATAGTTTACATGTGGTCGTAAATTATTTTCTGGAATAATTTATATGGACTTCATTTTTTATAATAATATGCTATTTACAACGCATTAACAGTATTTTATTTAGCAACTCCATTACCTCAATAGACTATTAAATTATAAACATTTCTCTTTACCCTGACCACATTACAATTTTATAATTATTAAGATGCTACGTATAACTATTAAAAAATCTTTATTGATTTATAAGTCATTTTATATGACAAATCAACAAAATAAATAACTGGACTGATTTTCTCAATTTATTTAAATCCTTCTAAGCTGTGAATAAACAAATAATTAAAATCCTATTATTCTAATGCTATGCTTACTTAAATAAGAAACATACCTAATAGAGAGTCAGAAAATTTAAAAGGTAGGTACAGAAAGTAATATTTTAATTTATGACTTGAAAGTGATAAATTTTGAAAAAAAAAATTGTTCATAAAAAATATTATCATTGAAAAATTAAATCAATGCACTTTAAACACAAATAATCCTTCCGGCCGAAATGATGCGTGCGCCATGGCTACAATTGAAAAATTGGCCAATTGCATTTTGTTTCCTGAATATTATTACAGCCATGTACCTTCATGTACTTTATAGTTCTTGCATAAATCTACTCAACAATATTCAACTGACAGAGTCATTACAGAATGTAAACAAATAAATAGATATAAATTTAGTTTTATTGTAATTTACGAGACATTGCTTGTCAAAACAACGTATATAAAGACATGTTCATTAAAATTAATATTAATAGGTGTATTTTATTGAAGATAAAAAGAAAAATGGAATTGACGATGACTGTACTTAGGAAATTATTCTCATTAAAGGGGCCCCTGGATTTCAATTGAGGGAACAGAAATAGTTTTAGTTGTTGTTCATATAAAACGTTGTTCTATTTTCCTCTTAGTCAATGTCTGTTAATCCTAGTGATAAGATCTAAAGGTATAAGATAAAAATGTTTTTGTTTCTTTTACTCCTTGGAACAGTTAGATCCGTACCATTAGATGACTTTCAGACGTTCGTAAACAATGAGGGTAAGTATGTAAAAACTAAAATAAAATAAAAGAAACATATGTACATAATTACTTATATTATTTTCAGAAGTAGCATTTAACGATGAGACTTATATCAAATATATTGTCCCATCCGGTTATTCACCACAGAAATCACAAAAACAATCAAAATTAGAATTGTTGGATTTTGCAAATAAGGTAAATAATAAGTTATTAAGAAATATTAATATGTTCTTGCTTTCATATTATATAAGCTATGTTATATATAAATCATTTTTAAGATATATTTTTCAAATGCTGCATATGTACTTATCACTAGAGCATTTACTTAATTTAATTTATATCAAGAAAATCTTATACTCAATAGTGTACAAACCCTGAAAAGAAAACATGTTATTGTAGTCTGAAAGAAATATATATATATTTAGTAGTTCGCCGCCGCCTTAGTAAACTTTGATTTCATTGAAATTTGATTGATCTTGTGTAAATCTTATAAAAACTAATGAGTTATCTTATCATTATAAAAATATCTTTATAATAAGTCATAGTACTTTTAATATTAATAATTAATGACAAGTGTCAATAGTAAAGAATCAGAAAACGTTGAATACCACATTAAACCAAAATAAATCATTCAAAAATAGTAGTGGGTTATTCTTTAAAACATATTTAGTTATTAATACTAATTTTCAGGATAATGAACATTATGAGACTTTAAAAAAACATATTCTAGCTGGTACTATTAAGAATGGTTTGACATTTAATATATACGACGACAACATGAGAGAAGCAACCATTGCTTTATTTCGACTATTACAATATTCTGAAAAAGAACAAATAAACACAATAAAAGAATGGGCCTTTGAGAATATAAATCATGATATCATAGATTATGCTGGGAGATTGGTCTCACTTTACAGAACCGATGTTATTAAAGAACAAGAGCCACCTTATGTATCCAAACCGAACTATTTCATAAACAGCGAAGTTATATACAAAGCTTTAAAATTAAAAATTAACAATGGAAAATTCGATTCTCAAACAGCAAGTGTTCAGCAGTTCTATAGAACTGACGATGTTATAACTATTAATGCTAACTATTCCGGATGGAACTTATTAAATGAAGACTGTAATGATAAACTTGACTACTTTAGAGAGGACATAGGACTTAACAGCTACTATTACGGTGTCCATCTCCAATACCCATTTTGGATGAATAATGATGAATTAACTGGCATTGATCCGAAATATGCAGAACAATATTATTACATACACAAGCAACTGATGGCTAGATATAATTTAGAAAAACAACACCCTGATTATAAAAATTCTCAATTTGAATCTAAATGCTACGATGATTATATACCTTACCTCGTACATGACAATGGCTTGAATTTTGCAGTAAGATCAACTATTAAGAAGGAAAATAGCGAGGAATATGCACGTTTAAAATCTGTAGACATAGCAATAAGAGAATGCATTGCAAGAGGATTTATTTACATGGTATTATTTAAAGTCGGAAAGGAAGCTATTTAAAATGATTCATTGAAATATAATGATTGTTTTTTAATTTCAGGAAAATAGCACAAAGGTAACATTAACTGATGAAAACTTCGTTGATTTGTTATCAAAATTAATAAGGGTAAATTTTGAAAGCGTGTCAATGGCAAAAATAATAAGATCTCTTTATGGTTACGGAGGAAAAGGATATTTTAAGAATGCGTAAGTGCTACATAAATATTAAACTATAATTTTATAACTTATATAAAATGAATACTTTTATGAAATAAATGCTCTGTATACTTAGGTACATTCCAGCACCTTCAGTATTACATCATCCACAAACTACGCTGCGCGATCCCATATATTGGTATATAATTCAAACTATGCTAGATTACTTTACGGATTACTCAAACTCATTGGAACCATACAATTTCTCCAATTATGAGACTGATGAATTTGTTATAGTGAACCACAATTTCACAAAAATTATAACCTATTTTGAAGACTTCCAAATTGGTCTTAACAAACTATTTGAGAAAGGATATGATTTTAGTTTCTCCTCCTTAATTTACACGGCTAGACAAAAAAGATTAAAACATATACCGTTTAGCTTTGAATTTAATGTTGAGTCTAAATCTAATAAGTCCTGTATTGTTAAACTATTTCTTGGTCCTAATTGTGAGGGTATAAGTTGCTGGAACGAATATTCAAAATATTTTGAACTTGATACTTTCACTTATAACATGGAAGAAGGGGTTAATCTCATCAAATGGTCTCCAGAAGCTTCAAATAAATATTCGTATGATGAATATTTCAATGTAGGATTAAAGTCTTTGAGAAAAAATAAGTTTGATTTGTTCAGATTTCCGGAAAATATGTTAATACCTAGAGGAACTGAACAGGGACTGAACATTACATTGTTCATCTTACTGATGCCTGAGCAAGATATAACTGAATTTAAAGAGACAGAGATTTCAGGTTTTCCATTCCACCGGCAAGCATTAGTAAATGATAACTTGCTTTATAAAAATTACAAGTTCTATAATATTCCTATATACCATAAAGAAATTAATAACTCAGGAAGTCACTTTTCGACACATCTAAATTAGTTGTTGTATTTCTATTATAATTTTAAGTTTATTATAAAAAAAAAATATTAAGATACATATTAATATTAGACTAAGTTTAAAAATCATTGTAATAAAAAATCAACATTTATACTGAATCGAACTTTTATTTAAACATAATGAGTTACATCGTTAAGATATTATTTTTAATAATATATTTCTCTCTCCTCTTAGTGTTTAACTACTTCATTGTGGTGAATTGAATAGTAAGGAATGTTGTATTTGTAGGCCATCTCTTCTCCTTCATGGTAAACCACGACATCCTCCCAGAACATGTTAGGTTGCTTAAAGTAAGATTCACGAACTGGGCGGTCAAATGGATAACCATAAGGCTTGTTATCTGCAGCGAAACTCTTGTAACCTTCGAATTTCTTGTCAACGGGAGAGTATGGGTAGACCATCACAAAGATCTGGTAGGGGAAACCACCAAGAGATCCCTTAGGAACAAGTAACCGTTTGGGGAAGGAACCATACTCGTTGGCCATATCAGCAGGGATTTTAGATTCTTCAAGAAGTTTAAGAACATCACGGACAGGGACGGAATCATCTTTGTAGTAGAAGAAGTCACTAGATTGACGCTGGATCTTGTTCTGTCCCTTGTTGAGCTTGTGTACGAACCAGTCCCATTCAACAAAGTTTTGCCAGTTGTCTTCGAGGGAAATAGGATAACCCTTGCTGTTGTATTTAGGTCCAATAAAGATTTTGAATACAGCTTCACCTTCAACGTCAGACTTAACATCGATGTTCACATTGAATGGTTTGTGGTTCAGACGAGGTTGACGTACTACGTACCAAGGATACTGTTGCGACTTGAGTTCTTCTTTGTTATAGAAAACGTTGTTGGATACATCATAGTCGAAGTAGTCGAAGTATGTCACTAGTTTGTCTACCTTAACGTCATTGATCTTAACTCCAACGTAGTGCAAGTTATCTTGGTTGTAAGGAGCCAGGAACTTCTTGTACTCGACGATGTATTTAAGAATCTTGCTGTACAATTGGTAGAAGATGGGGTCACGAAGAGAAGTTTGGTAGAAGTCGAGAGCGCTTGGCACAAAGTTATATCTAAAGAAAAATTGAATGTATTAGTAAGGAGGCAGCAAAAAAAAGAGTACGAATAACTTTTAAACATTTACACTATATTTTTGAAAATTTTAAAATACTTACTTGTCAACGGGTTCAGGAGCAGCACCAAGAATACGACGAGCTGTAACTTCGAAAGAGTTGTGGTTGTCTTTGCGTCCACCCTTACCCCACATATCAGCATTAGCTTGCCAGAAGTTGCCCACAAAGTTGATTGACTTAGAGTTGTGAAGATCGACCTCCTGGTTAACCTTTTATTTAAAGGCGGAATTAATAAAGAGAAATAAATATATTTTATAAAAATTATACAATTAAAATTCATAAATACTTACAGATTTGATATGTCCTTGTTCAAGATATTGAATGAAAGTCTTCTCATAGGTATCCAAAAGTTGAAGTTCTTCATTCTTTTCATAGGGGATTTGGTAGTACGACGGTCTTTGCACAAAGGAGTGGAAGTAGTTCACGTAGGGGCTGTAACCACTCCTAATAGGCTGCCACCAAGAGAAGTCAGGAATTTCACCTAATCCGTTTGAAAGACGTTCCAGGTAGTAACGGGCCAACAGTTGTTGGTGGACGTAGTAGTAGATTTCTCCACGACGGTCCTTTATTACTGGGAAGAAGTCACCATCCATCCAGAAGGGGAAGTAGGATTGGAAGTAGTAGTAGAATGCGTTAAAACCGACATCTTCGGTAAAGTATGAAATCCTGTGTTCATCGTTGTGGTAAGTCAGGTAGTCTGAATAGTTAGAGTAAACCACGTAGCGATCTCCTTCCTGGACAATACCGTCCTCAGATCCGAAGTCGGGTGAAAAGATGCCATTCTGCATCTTAATACGGAAGATCTTGTACCAAACATTGGAGTTGGTGAAGAGTTCGGGATAAATTTCGTAGGGAGCAGGTACAACGAAGCCCTTAGTATCAGCACGGTGGATCAAAGCAATGTAGTATGCATACAGGAATTGTCCTTCGTTAATGTGGACACGCGCAAAGGCAGCGGTCTTGTAGAAGACTTCAAAATCTTTAGCACTGTACAAAACGTTGAACAAGGCAACTGCTTCTTCCCTTTGTCTTTCATAGAAGACAGAGAAAGGAACGTTCTTTGGTAAAAATCCAGACTTCCATAAGTCTAAGAATTCTTGGACAACCTTCTTGTTCTGAAAAATAATAGTTATTATGAAACCTCCGATTCAAATAATTGTATGTTAATTAAAAAATAGCTTAACCATACCAAGTAGTCATCAATATGGGCCTCAATGTCGTAGTCCTTGCCGACATGATAGTATTCTGCTTCAGGATCTACTTGCTCAGGGTGGATGAAGAGGTTGAAAATTCTCTTCTGTTTTAAAATAAAATCATTGTCCACTATAAAAAAAGAAAATGTAATAAGTATGATTATAGGTAACACAAGAATATAAGTTAACTACGAAATAATAATGAGTATATTATTAATGAGTGTATTTTCCTACCAGACTTAATTTTGTAGACGGGTTTATTTGGAACCACCACAGCGCCCGCCAAGGCTAGGGCCAGGCAAGCAAATGCCAAGACAGTCTTCATGTTGACAAGACTAGAAGACAACTGTGCCTAAAGCACTACGTAAACTCTTTATATACTTATCCAGACAACGTATCGTCACATATAGATTTATGTTATCAGTTGCCTTAATTTGACCTCTTGATTTCTGGAGGTAAGAGAGTTACTAGTCAAACAAAAATTTCGAGAAATGTTTGGAATCAAGAGATATTTATGTTTGAATATCGGTTACTTTTCTTTACTTAAAATATTGAATTTACTATACCGTACTTTAAATATATTACTCATTATAATCAAAACCATAATCAATAATATTACAAAAAATTATTTTTAAATCATGGTTAAAACATTTCTTGTTCATATGAAGGCTAATTGGAGTTAAAAAAATATATATTTGTATATATGTATACTGAAATTATTATTGACGTTTTGTTTTTAATAATTTTCAACTTATTTTAAAGATTCGTTTCCCTTAAAAGTGAAAAATTAGTTGAGAATATTTTCATTTAAGTTAAAAGGCGAGATATTCTGTTTAGGATACCAACCAAGTCTATCGAATACAAAATATATTTATTAAAAGGGAAACATTTCAATAAGTCTAAAAACTGTTATGGTTATTTAAAAATGGCTTATTCATCTGATTTAAACACACACACACACACACATATATATATGTATTATAATTTCATTGAGACTAAACTCAGAACAATCTATATTTAGATAAATTGAATAATATAATTAAACATAGATAAATTGAGATAAATGGTTGGATAACTTTTATGGTTGCATTTAAAATATAAATCCAGAAATCAAGTATAAATGTTATAGTGGTTAAGATATTCCACGTATGATAAATTAAACTAACTCCCCGATTTTAATAACACAGAATGTTTATTATAACACCTAGTATTAAAATGTTTCGTGGTTGACGTTTTCAACTTGAATACACAAAGTTTGTTAAGATAACCAATCAATATCATACTACTTTAAATCCAAGTAGAAACTTATTTATAAACCAGTAGCTGCTTTAAAATTAAGCGTTCTATACAAAAATACAATTAATACTTGATTTTGCTCAAATACTATGATAAAGTGTAATTTTGTAAATAACTTTTTACTTATAAAATATAAATTAAACATTAGTTTATAATTGTTGTATTTCTTATTGATATAACATAAATGATCTATTTATATAAATTATTTACCTTAAAAAAATATGGCCTTTTCCATAAAATCCCACTGATGTGTAATGCTACATCTTCTTTAAGATTACTAAAAAAACATAAATATTTATATTAATAGGAGTCTGATTTAACATCCGTGTGAAACTCACATATTTCTTGTCGTAGTAAAACAAAAACACTTTTCATAGCGATAACTATTTAGTAATATTGAATGTACGGATATCAAAAATTGTATTTACTTAACCGTAATTTACTGTAGGACACTGTAATAAATTTATTAAAGCAATTGAAATACAATATTCCAGAATTAACAGGATTGAATCCTGCTCGTAAATATGATTTTTTTATACTATTCTATTTTATTTGAGTTTTAAGTATATTATTCTTTTTGACATAAATATTAAATATATAACTTATATTAATTACCTAGAAAATTTGTTACATAAGTATTTACTATATGAAAAATTTTAAAGAATGTTGTAAAATTTTGTCAAAATAAAGCAACATGTGATTGAAAATAAGACTGTCATAATATATAAAAATAAAAAAAACATAAATATTATTTAAATTAATGAGTGATTTATTTTCGGTGATAACGATGACATTATTATCAAACAACCGATGAGCTATTAATAATTTCGTAATCATATAGAGTTTCGTCATTTCATAAAAAAAAAATATTAATCATAATCCGACTATATATCCAATACAAGTATATATCCAATCATATTATTTGCTTTTCCACCCAATAACACGAAGCTTCAAGGGCCGTCGTGGAACACCCTTGGGTTTTTAGTGGGTAGTGGCAACGAGTCCCACATACCCCGCTGTTTTCAAAAAATGGCGGGGATGCGTAAATGCATTTTTACCAAGGATAAAAAAAAAATAAAAAAATAAAAAAAATAACACGAAGCTTTATTCATTAGGAGGAAATCAGTGCAAATAAACTTTATACTTGTTATTCTTTAAATTTGATATAGCTGAATATCGGCAGCAATTTTTAAATTTAACATATTTAAAACTTGATTCAAATATAAATTAAATTTACATATGGCTTTTCATAAATATTACAAATAGTAAAATATTAAATGACACACGAATGTTTGAAACGCATTCGAATGTAATATCTACATGGTTTATAATAACAAAAACAAAAAAAAATAATGTATATGTTTTTTAGATATTATACTAATGCAGTTAAATCATCAAAACATATGTGATCATGTGAAAAAAATATTCCATCATGTAAAAAAATTCGCCTCGATAACCCGTATTATCAGCAGTCGTGAAATAATGAAAGTTGTTTACGTATTATTAATCGAATGTATTCATAATTAAGAAATGATAAAAATGACCGAATAACAAACTGTTGATACAAGATGAAGGTTATGTTTTATTTTATAGGTGACATTTATTATATCGTATTTTCATCGACGATATGAACAGGCAATTGTTTCAGTCGCTACCCCAGATAACGTTTGAGTGATAATGAACAAAATACAACACCTAGCATAATACCGGCCTGCATAACAGTCTAATGACACCACAATCATTTATTTAAGACAATGAGCTACACTATTCAAGTCTTATCTTACAATTATTGTAATTCTATGTTCTTATTGGAATTATTAGCAAAATATTTTATTTAAAACTTAAAAATAAAAAAAAATTAAAATATGGTTTGACAAGATTTTGATTTTGAAAAATAAGATAAAAGTTAAATTTTTATATCGGTTTATAAAAAAGGAATATGTAAGAAATAAATTGAGACTTTTTGTCTTTATCACTTGTTAAAAAATCTATAATACTGGAATATTAAAAAATATAACAAAATAATAATAATAACGGTACATTAAACAGGTAATGTGACAATTGGCAAAGTTGTAAAATATTTATCCTTTAAATACACCAAATGTCTAAGACATTTTCATTCCTATTCCGATGTTACTATTTACATACTATTACTACATTTATAAAATTTTACATTATACTTTTATTTAAAAATAATAAAATTAATATTACCTCCGTAATTAAATAAACGGATAACCACGACCACTCTGTCAAGAGTGATACCGAGTGAGAAAACGAATTAAATAAATATTGTTTGTATAATTTAAGTTCAAATGGATTTTATTACAACATAGCAAATGACATATTCGTTTTAAAATTAAAGTTTTGGAGAGCATTGCAGTAATTTCATGATATATCGATATATGATATTTCAAAATAAATACATGCATCAATATACATATGATAATTATCAGAACCAAGAATGTTTTAGGAGGCGTCTCCAAAAAGGAAACCCTTGTGAAATCGTATTTTAATAAAAATAACAAAATTAAAAAAATTGGTTCTATAGTAGGAAGACTAGAGTATATATCTAAAACTATTACACAATATAAGCTAAGCATTGTTTCACTAAAATGAAATCTTTCCTTCACATATTAATTTTCTATTTATAATGTATGTATGTATATAATGTATAATAGCCAGAAAGATAGTCAAATGTGGATTCAGGCAGGATTTGTAATGTAGCCGATGGCTTTCGCAGTGGTTTAAGTGAGTAGGGGCCTGCCCAGGCCGAGCCTCACACATCCCTTCCGACCCCACCAAGGCCGGTTGGACGGCTCGTAAAAAGAGTTTCCACTACGTCATCAAAAAAAAAAAAAGGATTTGTAATGTAGATATGTAAATGTAATCGGAATTACAAAACATTTTAATGTTACAATAATCTTAATATATCATATATTCTTTGTTATAATTAACGTACTCAATTATCCTAAATACCGCAGCAAAAAAAACAAAAGATAAGCAAGATAATAAGAAATCTTTCTCAATCATTAATCATATTTAACCATTTCAACATCTTTAAATTTTAAAAACTTCAAACTTTTTATGCAATTTTATTTAAATTTTTAAAGAAATAATTACAAAATCACAAAATAATAATGGAATAAGTATTGCGTCATCGTAACAATGAATGGTATAACGATAAATGACAAGAGATAGGTTAACAGCGGAATTATATTTTTTATTTCTTATTGATATTAGTATCTAGTTATTTATATATACATATTTAAACTTTGTTGTTATAAATATACTGCATCTTTTTCAAATCAAACGAAACCCCAAATTGAATATCTTAAGTTCAAACCTCATCTTATCACATTCATCAATAATAATACTGTATAATAATATAGTATTACTACATATTCTAATAATTAATGTTTTATTTAGGTATATAACAATACGAAATTCACAAAGTTCAAATAAAACTAGTGTGTGTAACATGTAAGTGTAAGTAATGTAATCCTTAACTATGTTAACTAGTGGTAAATGAACCTGTGACAACTTTAACCTGACTATAATTTTAACTTATGTAAATGTTATAGCTTACTGACTTAAATTAAGTACTAATATGAAACTTATTTCCATTACAATTACCTACACCATCGTAACAGCTAAATCTTGTGTGTTGACAATATAAAGGAGTATAATAAAACATACCATATTTCGAAATATAATGGCATTTTCACGTCTCACTATAAGAGTTTGTGGCGATTTTTTAAGGTTTCACTCTTATTGAAGTAAAGCCTCTCATCAGACTAGAATGAAATCTTTTAGTAATATTGCTCAGAGATTAGAATAAACCATACTCTAATTTATCATGAAATCCATTTAGTCTCCGCTTGCTTGCAATTGCTTTTGTTAATAGTCTATAACAGGACAGAGATGGCGCTTCGTCAACTCTTTTTTTTTTCAAGAACCTTGTATTTATTCATTACTCAACTCAACTTAAAAAATTACACGCAGGAGGTTAAAGGCAAAATCTATGTATATTCATACAGATGTATAAAATAACCTCGTGTCTTACTAGAATTGACGAATATTAATAATAGTTACAATTCGCTAATGAAGTTAATGAAGTAAAAATATATTAATATGTACAAAGACAATCATATTATTCTGTTTTAATCTTCTGTAATTAGTGTCATAACTTTTTGAGAGTGGCGTTGAGCTAGATTTTTAAGGGACTAAGTGCTGTGCTACACACTTATTTGATTTAACCCCTTTATAAGAGATGTCGCTACTTGAGACATTAGATCAGCAGATGTTTTGTTTATTTTAAACAATAGATGGCAGTACACGAACGGATACATTAAAAATAAATAATACTTTAAAAATCGTTTTAAACTTTCAACATATTCTTTTCTTGTAAGCGGTAAGCATATTCTTTTGGTTTTATCCTTTATATACTCAACCAAATTACTTGGTGGCATAAATATAATTTAAACATTAACTTGTTAGGAGGAACACATTATAAAGTAAATACAAACTGGTTATAACGAAACATAATACATATGAAATATTCCCTTGTTTTTGAAACAACAATTTCACAATTAAGTGTCTATATAAAAATCACGGAAACGTTCCTTTTTTACTACAAAATAGCTAATGTTATTTGGCCTTATTTTGTTGAAAAGTCTAAAATGATATATAACATTATTCAAATTGGTATCTGCAATTTACATATAGAAAAGTCTATTAATTAATAAATGTATTAATAAACATTTGTAAATCGCATATTCTACACTTTAATTGTATTAAAATGTATTTCTTATCACTTCAAATCCTCAAAATATATGTAGATATTTCTAAAATTTAAGTTCTTAAAAATATAAGCTTAAAACTTTTTTTTCTTAATTTTTATTTTGCTTCTAAACTTAAGGTATTTTTAAATATCGGGGAATAATAAATTAAAAAAGATATTATTTGATCCCTTCAGATTTATTTCAACAATTAATTTATATAAGAAATACATATATATGGAAAATACATAATTGTCGTGAAAAAATATAAATAAATATTAAAATATATACATAAATAAATGTATAATATACGAAAGACTTTTTGAGATCTAAGAGCTGATTGAGATTATGGTTATCTGTGAAATGTTACTACTATTACAAAATATTTTACTATTGCTACAAGGGGCACTACTTCAATAACTAATTAAAGTCTTTGGTATAAATTATAACATAAACATAGTATAAATAATGTTAATAAAAGACATTTGATACATAAACTAAATAACGGGTTTCATCTAAGTGCTACCGATTGTAATCAAGGACTCTTAAAACCAGATCGCATTAGGTACAACAATTTCAGGGGTGGGCTTGTGATAGATTTGAACTTCCTTAATGTGTAAGTTAGGAAGTTTGTGGATCCACATATCCTTCAGCGGTCTGTCCAACGGGTAACCATAGGGCTCGTTAACAGCACGCAGAGGACTAGCACCGCTCCAGCTTCCAGAAAATTCGTTAGATGGTTTGTAGTCACTGATGAAGACTAAGAATTGGAACGGCATACCACCGATACGACCTAAGAATTTAAAATGTTATTAGACTCTCACTTACAACAGATGAATGGACTTTATTAATGTAAAACATTTGAAGCCTCACCCTTAGGTAACATAAGATGACGAGGGAATCCACTCCAGAAGTTGTTTACATCAACTACCCACTGACCATTACCGCGAAGAGCATTGCTAACCTTGTTTACAATTTCAGAGTTAGATAACCATTGGTCGATCATGTATGAGTTGCTACTGGACTCACGTTTAATCACACATTCTCCTGCTGGCACTGTAATGTAATATAATAGTATTTAAATAAATATAACTAAAATTGTTTAGTATTTGATAAAAATGCGCTTAATTTTATCAATACTTACATTCGTAAATGAATTGATCAATTTGGAAGAAGTTCTGCCAATTTTCTTCCAGTGGAATTTCCAAGCCCTTGCTGTCGTATTTAGGACCAACAAAGAACTTGACTACCACTTTTTTAGAAACGTCACTCTTGACATTAACGCGTACCTTAAATACTTTGTTGTTTAACTGTGGCCTCTGGACCAAAACACTCACTGGGCTTACGTTAGCTGAAAATCAAAAATGATTTGTAAAACTTTATTTCCTTAATATTTTATTATTAATTTCAACGTTTTTCTATTATATTATACTTACATTCAACCACATTGTAGGGTAAGACGTTAGAGATGTTGACGTAACTCTGTTCGAAGTAAGTTACGAGTTTATCAACCTCAACTTTTTGGATCTCAACATCAGGTACAGCCAAATCTTCTACTCTGTATTGTGGTAAATATGAAACCCACAGATCGTATAAGTTAAAGATACGCTTCCAAATCATATAAACGGCGGGATCACGAGCTTCTGAGCATGGAATTTCCAAGACAGAGGACATAACAAGAGGCACGTATCTGGAAAAAATATATATTTGAAGGTCATAAAGTGAAGATTTTAATTGAAAATTAGTGTATAATTTGATAGCAAATATCATATGTATAATATAGTATAATATAATATATTACACTTACCCTTTCCACCACATTTTACGAGATACAATAGAATTACCAAGTACTTTTTTCCATGAGCTCAAAATGCTACCATAGTAATCTACATTGGGAGAATAGTCGTTTCCTTCGATAATATTCCAAAATACACTCACGGCTTCTGGTCTGCGCAAATCAATCTTATCACCATTTTCCTGAAAATATTATTAATTAAGAAAACATGAATTAATATGAAAATCACGTTTTATGAAACTAACCAATGTTAACAGTGCTATATCTCGTGTATATTTTTATAAAGTACTTACAGCAATAACATATCCTAGTTGAATGGCTTCACGAATTCTACGTTCATAGATCTTCAACTGTTCTACAGATTCAAGAAGCCTAGGTTGGTTAAGCTGGTAGTAATCAGGCCTAACTGGTAAGGGAATACCGTTATAATGGACCAAACCACTGTTATACCCTTCCTCTACAACATCCCAGTTCAAGAGAGGAATTTCTCCGAGACCATTGGAAAGTCTTTCCAAGTAATAACGGCTGACAATTTGTCTATAGAAGAAAAGATTGTAAGCTCCCCAATTTAGTTTATGTTGGGAAACTAAGGAATCGTCAAGCCAGAATGGTTGTCTAAGATGGTTGTTGTAAATGATAGCATTCAGTGAGTAATCATTCATAAAGTATGACATTGGTGCGCTTTCTTGTCCGACATATGGCCAAACAGTTTTGTTCCACCTGATGACTACGTTCTCATCCCACAAGTAACTTTGCGGATAGTTCTTTACGGATTCCTTTCCATGTTCATTAATCTTATGGGCCAAGTTAATGATTTCTGCATTGTGGAAGTAAGATGGGACAATTTCATATATTGGTGGTACAACGACACCCTGGGTCTCGGGGTGGTAAAGGATTGCGAGAGACAATACGTAAACAAAAATTGCTTCATTCAGATGTTGCCTTAAGTAAACAGCTGCCTTATAGAATGATGAATAATCCTTGGCACTGTATAACAAATTGAAGGCAATTTCAGCTTCACGACGTACTGCGGGCTCACTCAGAGAGAAGGCAAACCAACGTGGCTGGAGAATATCGTGTTCGAGCAAGTATATGAATTCTTTAACAGCAGTCACATTCTAAAAAAAAAAGTAAATAGCACTATTGATATCTATCTATTTGATAAAAAAACGTTCATATTGTAAGTGTGTTACTTTCAGCATTTCATAATAACAATTATTGATTTAATTCTATTTTAAATAATCTGTTATAAAATTAAGTGGTATAAAATTAACATATAACAAGTACATACGCTGTAATGTTCAATATTTTTCTCCCAGTCAAATGATTCAACAATCGACTTTAATTCTGAGCTTTGGATTGGATCACTGATGCGGTTGAACAAATTGGATAGTTCAATCTGGCGTTGCAGAATGACATGATCCACTGAAAATTGAAATGCATAATGAAAGTGAAAGAAACCTTATATGTGGGTAGTTATAAAATCAGAATAATTTTCATTTACTTCAATTTTTTTTATTATGAATAAAATGATTAAAAACCTTAAGCCATCAGATGCAAGCTGTGGAACAAGAATTTCACTTACCAGCTTTTGGTGGTACAACGCTCTTCGGGATCACTTCTCCAAGGGCCTGAGCCACCAGGATGGCGAGTACACCTAGTACGACACGCGCCATGACTAGTTTTGTGACTTTTTCTCAATTCTCGTATATTTATACCTGCAGATATCTCTGCACTTTTCTATCAGTTGGGTCAATTAATAAAATATTTTGATAAAAATGCAAGGTCAGGTTAAGATAAATGTCATTTTTAAGTAAATATACTTTCATTTGTTTTAAAGGTACAACATTTTAATTAAGATGGAACCAATTTTATTATTCCATTGTTTGGTTAACTTTTCCAAAACCTTTTTTCGTGAATTAATAAATAAGCTTAACAAACTTTAGTACCTATTATAAGATATATATAGTCTAGCCAAACTGGTTCTTTAATACTTTAATTTTCATGTATGCAGATGTAAACGTTCAACGTATCGACTACTTAAAAGATTTTTGAATTATGTTTCATAATTTAGTCTAATCTGTTATTAATTATTCATCGATGTCTAGTGGAATTAGTAGTCTGATGGATGGACATTTTGTATCATTACTAAGTTAAGCTTTAGATTTACAGAATCATATGGATTTAGCTGAAACATAATTTTGAGAAAATATGCAATGTCAAAGAATATGTATATGTAATATACAAAAAAATAATCTAAATTGCATTCTATTTATATACTATGGATTTAAATTTTTTGGTATTTAACCATACAATAATCTAATGCCTCCATATAAAGGATATAATTCATGTTTTTTCAAATACACGGAATATATTGTTTAAATCATAGCAACTATTAAGTTTTGAAACGACTTTAATACTAAAAGAGACCTTACTACCTTAAATAGAATTACCATTTTTATTATTATCAGAATTTATGTTTCAATATTTAGCTTGTTATTGATTAAATAAAGAAAACCTTTAGAAGAGTAACCTAGGTTACCTAAGTAACCTTTAAAAGTCTCATATCGTTAGAATAATAACAATTTATGTATTTTTTATTTTTATTAAATACGCAATAAGTGTATTGTAAATTAAGTTAAGAAAGCGTTTAGTAAAACAATAAAAGTGAAGTTAAATGAATTCAAGAAACAACAGAAAATTACAGTGTAAGTGTATCCGTATAATATTTAATTGTAATAAGCATTTAAATAAAATAAGTCTTAGTTGAAATTTTGTAACAAAATTAAATTCAATTAATTGGTGTGACTATTTCTTGAATTTTATTTCAAGTACAAAAAGAGGAGCATAAATATATATAGTGCAAATGAAAAGACGTGATTTGTTCATGTTTTCTCAATATTTTGATCTTTATGTTGGTGATGATTCTACCTCTAAATTAACCACCAATCTTTTAACAAAAATGTTACTGTTTCGATTCTTGGAGATGATAAAAATATACTTTATATCATTAGTGATTCATATGTTAAAAATAATATATATATTATCGTTACGTGTAGACTTAAAAATATGTAATGAGTTAGTGAGAAAATTATTCCAAAAGCTATTATTATAATAGCTTTTAAGCTATTATTATTATAAAAGCTACAAGAAAGACTGTTTAAAATGATAACACATCCATATTATAATAGACCCGGCTCATTAGGATAAACGATCCAAGCACAATAAGCAATTAATTAATCGAAGAACATATTAAAAATGGTTGAAAAAGGTACACTGCTGTGACAAGAACCAATATATCACTCGATGTGTTCTGCCGCGCGTCCAAAGTTTTGACGTATGAGTTATTTATTGACCTAAAAAAATAAATTACCGGATTGCCCACACATTTGTTGTGTTCAAGGTGGCAGATTCGGATGCTCACGCAAAAAATGAAGGCCCTAAGGCAAGAGGCCTTGTTACTTGTAAATTAGATACGAATAAAGCTGGAAAGAGATTAAAGTTTTCCATTATCTGAATAGAAACCTACGTAATAATAGAACTACTTTTTATAAATAAATAAATATAAAATATCATAGTCATTGTTAATAAATCAGTTAAAAATCAAATATCAGATGGCTTGAATCATACGTTGTAATAATAAACTGTTATATTATTTATAACTGGCAATTCAACATATATTCGCACAGCATGTATAATTTAAAGACCACAACATTGTTTCAATTACCGTTCTGACTAACCACAAATAATTATCGGAGTATAAATTGCGTTGGGTGCGTTATTACAGTTAAACCCTTATTAAAACATAAAATATGATGTTTCAATACAAATGACAGTGAATCAGAGTGACGAAGACTTATGCTTCGTTCAATATTCATGTATTTGTTTTGAACGCCCATTTCGCCTGACACTTAACCGATGACCACCTATTAGTTATACCGGCATGAGTATATATATTGCAGTGTACATACTCAAAGCAAAAGTGCATTTAAAATTTCTTACTATGACAAAATTGTAACAATATTAATGAATGTACAAGATATTACTAAAAAAATTAGTGAAGTGATTGAAATATGTCAACATTTTATATTGAAATGTTTTGCCACAATCTCCTTAAGATCATAACTGTCATTGAAAGAGATATTAAATGAAAGTACTGTTAATCCCTTCAACCAATAGGATTATGGGTCTAAAGAGATAGAATATCCACAAAATATTTTGTCAATTTCGGGTGGTCGTATATTCATTTCCTTGTTTTGCGTTACGTCTGCATTGTGTTATAATGATAAAAGGGAAAATTGAATATCAACAGGGTGTTTCACCCTTTCTTTTATAGTTTTAACTTTGAACAATGAGGTGTTGTCAAACGTCGCTTTCACTTCGATGAGCTTAAGTACTTTCTTTGTCAACAGATTAAGTGTAAGTATTAGGTGTTTGTATGAACACAGATTAAAAATAAGTAATCTGTATTTAAAACACACATTATTTTACATTGTAAATTATTAATTTCATGTTATATATAATTAGATCAATAAATTTGAAATCTAATAACTTATTCCGCGTATAATGCTTAGATCATAAAGGTATGAGTGGTTATTAAGTCATAACAATGAATAACAATTAGCTAGCATATAACTTAATCCATAATATCAGAGGTTAGATTAATAAAACGGTAATTATTTATCCTTTATATAAGGTTAAAAGCAATTTATTCCAAGATATTTAAAAATCTAATTATACATTTTTTTCTTATTTTAAAGTTACTAATTCATTTTGACTGCAATATCTCTTAGTTAAAAACAAAATTATGCCAGCGAAGTTTTTATTAAATTTCCAAGTATCGCATGTTCTTCAATATTTAATATTAGTTATAAAAATACTAAATTTTAAAGAGTAGACTTAGTTTTTAATGGTCCACGTAGTTCTAGTCAAAATACAGGATCAGATATTTTTGCGTCATTGTTATGTATGTAATTTTTATCAAAAAATCCAAAATTAATCTCTATAAGGAGAAGAACGTTGCATAATTTTAACGGCGCTTTTTATTTCTCAAATTTCAAATGATATATTATATTATATAAAAGATACTAGGTATATCTTTATTCTCAAGAGTTTAATTACTATTTTCATCGCAGAATTTAATCACGCTTATTTTTATGTTATTAATTAATTAATAACCTTTTTACTCGAATCTTTTGTAGCTGTTGGTGTATAAAAAATTGAAATCGTGTCGACCACACATAAATATTTCTCATAAACTGAACGGGAAATATCTAAATCGCTCCATCTCGTCTTCGTGCCTCGTGAACATAACAATTCATGATCGTTTAACTCAAATTATCTATTATGAATATTAACACATACAAAAAAATATTAACCGGGATTATGTCGCTAAGAAATAAGATAATTAAATATTTTTTTTCTTCTCTACATACTTTATGCTTTATATTTTTAAACTTATTACACGTTAAACAGTTCATTCATTCAAATAACTCACTGATGAATAAATAATTTGAAATAATCTACCTACATGATTGTCTCTAGATAGTATGTAGTAAAATATATTTTTTAAGTTGATGAACCTTTTAGAAGCATAATAAAAACAAAAAACGTTTCGAGAATATTCTACAGTCTACTGCATCGCTCAAAATATCAAGCCTGTATGATATAAACCAAGTTCGGAATGATAGTGAATTGTATTTGGTAATCTCTTTAGTAGAAAACAATCCTTGAAGACATAGTACAACAGAAAAGGAGAACTCTTTACGTCTTTGAATTAGTAGTTCCATTTCTTTTTATTATGTAATATGCATCTCAAAGTAATGAAGATAATTATCGTTTAAATACATTATTATATATAAGAATATTCGTTATTAGAATATACTTCTATAAACATTTATCCCAATGTATATATTTATTAAATAAAACAGATAAATATACGAGCGGTTACTAGTTAACAATAAATCTCTTAATATAATAACAACGTTATCAGTAGAAGATGTCTGGAACAGGTAAGTTTAGGTCACATTGATAACGTCTGTCAATACGTTAACGATGAGTTTATATCGTCTCGGCAACAGGATAATAACGATCAATATTATAATTAACTGACCCCTTGAACTTCAACGGCTCACATCAACTGCAACTTTAACTGGAAGTTTAATCATAGTTTTCAATCTCAACGGGCTACGCGTCGCATGAAGACAGGACTGTTTTTTACTTATTAACATACAATTACGTTTTTACTTTAATTATAAATTATGTAATTCTTCTAAATGTGTTTATAAGAAAATTTTAATGAAATAATTGTTAAAATAACTTTAAGTTTAAATAAATCGTAGATTAATATATGTAAAAATATTATTCTTAAAAGTAATACGTTATATTCTAGAACAATGTCTTCTAAGAATAAAACTTCAATTTATTTTTAATTATTAACAGATTCAGCGTGCGGTATCACCGGTAGAGCATCGCTCACACCTGTGACTATCAAAAGTGCCGCCCTCGGAGCAACACACGAGCCGCGTCGATACTCCCATGAGAACAACGAAATATACATACGACTATCACTGGCTGGATGTGGCTTTCAAAACTTACTCAATGATATGTGGAAAAAAATAGTTATATATAATCCGTTCATATATACCCAATTATACAGTGTGCATTTTAGTTTGGA